AGGCGTTTATCATGACTAATAAAGTTTCTACATTGGCAATATAAAAAAAAAAAAAAAAAAAAAAAAAAAAAAAAAAAAAAAAAAAAAAAAAAAAAAATAAAAAAAAAAAAAAAATTAATATAGAATTATAAAAAAATTATATAATAAAACTATATATATAAATTTTGTTTTAAATAAAATTATATGAGTAATTAATTTCCGAGCTGTCAAATCTAAAATATCCTCCTTTGCAATTATATCTCTTAAATCATTTTGAATTGCTACAGGTATTTTAGATGGCAGAGGTGGTGAGTAATTATGAATATTTCATGACATAATTACAATATATGAACAACTTTTAAGATCTTCAGAGACGTAATGCCAAAATTTAACAGGGCAATCAGATTTTTTCTGAATTAACCCTTGAGCAACTTCTTTATTATCTGTTATATGAATATAAGCTATAAAGACATAAACTAATTAATAATTAACTTTAAATTAATCAATATTAAATTAATAATAATAAAATATACAGCATTTTTTTGCTTTTGTACTTAAAGGATATATTGTATAGCAATGTCGATTTGAATTTGGAATCTAAATATATTAATATTAGTATTTAAATTTTTAATAGTTGAATAATTTAATTTTTAATTTAATTTAAAATAAATATCTCGGCAATAATTCTATCATTATAATATGTGTGTCATAAAAAGTTTTTTTAAGTACTCAATATTAACATGTCCAGATATACTTTGATATCGGTGACCATGTTCACCATTTTTAAATTTTTTGCAACCAATAAAATAAGTTGGTGCTGAAGTATCATCTTCTCGCTATTAATATGAATTAAATATTATTACTATATTAATATAAAATAAAAAAATAAAAACCTGATAATGTGTTGCAAGTTTAGGTTTGCCGTTACATTGAATACCAGTTTGAGAACAAACAAATCTACATGGTACTTTGTGTGCCGTAGCAAATATACCAATAAGGAATTATTAATTATTAGTATTAAAATATTATAAATATAATATTATAAACATATAGATAAAATTTACTTTAAAGTGTTCACATCTAATGATAATTCATTTGCTTCGAATATTTTTTTAAACAAATAATCATCAAAGTTTACTGATGTATGTGTCATGGCGACTAGTTCAGGTGCTGCAAATTGGCATATTTTAATACCACGACATGTCCTTGTTTCTTTGTAAACTTTGGTGTTTAAAAAAGGACAGTATACGGATAGTTCCATCCTTATAGGCATACTGAATATTCTTAAGATCAAAGATTTCAAGAGCCTTTTCAGTATCCATACTGGCTACATTATATACACAAGCGACTCCATTCTCAGAAGTTTCTGGATACTCTTCAATTCAAGCCGATATTTGATTTTAGTAATGATTTCTAACTTTGCTCTCCCTAATTTAATTTAATAGAGGCTATAAAAATATTAAACTTCATGTTTTAATATTTTACAATTAAATTTGTACGGGCAAGATAAAATATACAATCTAAAAATAGATTATTATAAATTTATAATAAACTATTTTAGATTGTATATTTTCATTTTTACACATTCATATATATTATACCTTATCAGTTTCTTCAATTCCTTCTGTAAATTTTTCAGAATCTAATGTCATGGCTTGTTTATTAAACTTCCACTATATTATTTAAACAATATTATTACTTAGTACTTGATCTTGAAATTTACATTATTTTAAAAAAATTTATACCGTAGATGGATTTTCTGGGTCTTGAATATCTTCATCTGAAGTATCAGAATCTTGTTTATTGCTAGAATCCTGTCGATTATCAAAATTTTGGTTGTCATTGAAACCTTGTTCATCACTGAAACCTTGTTCATTATCGAAACTGTCAAGCAGGTAATCTGATTCTTCGTCAGAACTAATAGCGATAGGTTGCTCTGCACTAATTTGGTAAGCCATTTACGATATTTGGTCGTATGTATGTACAAGAAAAAAATGTACATACTCCTGTATTACAAATAAATAACTAAATTTGTATAAAAAAAATTCATGCAAATAACGATAATGAAAATGATTATAATATGTAAAATTCATGCAAATAACAATAATGAAAATAATCGTGATATGTAAAATTCATGCAAATAATGATAATGAAAATGATTGTGATACATGCAAATAACGACAATAAAAATGATCATGATATGTATAATAATGATTGTGCAACATTATCATAATATGACGTATGTACTATCTCGATATCTTTATTTCACATTATACAAAAAGGCTATAAACATTTATTACATTAAGCGATATATTGTATTGTATCATTTTAAAATTTATACAATACAGTACTAATTTACTTTAATAATATGCACATTCGTATTGTACTGTGTCATGTCGAAATTTCATACAATACAGTACTAAATTATCTTCCATACAGTACACTATATATGTATATTCTCAAACAATACATCAAACATACATCAAACAATACATCAAACAATACTATGAAATACACATATGGGACTCATATGGGATATTGCCTCGCTGCTCACGTGGTCTACAGCTGCTCTCCTAGAATCGAACATTACTGTCTTTTCTGATATCCAACCCATTAGGTTGAGCTATCACCTGTTCATTTGATATCCGGGTTGTTCACCCGGGCTATCAACACACATCTTCACTAAACCATCTCCCAACTCCTTTCATCCCGAGGTGGGCGGGTGGGTACCCTCGACTTTCGTCGAGCTAGCAGCAAAGACAAAAGAGGAAGAACCACCCTTCAAACGGAAATCACTTAAGTAGCCATTTTCTATGACATCATACTTACCATCACTTGTTCTATCAAACTCAAGATTTATTACCAATACATCATTACTTACAAATCAACTATTCCATCACCCCAACCATCACTACTTACCATCGCTCATCTGATGTCATGGGTCTGGGGCCTGGGTCATGATCTCGTGACAAATGGATGCCTCGTGACTTCGTTCACGGCATCCCAATTAAGTTTGGCTAAAATATATATCTGAATCGCAAATAGCATTGAGATTCTATACTACTTCTATTTCACTTTTTAATATAATATTTGTTTACTTATATTTGTTATTAGCTGTTTATAAGCATCTAAATCAATTAATCAGATAATAATTGTTGGGGATTTTGGTAAATATCAAATTTTATCGTGCAAACTCTTATGAACATGGTTTTTTTTGCCTTGATATTTATATGCACCAAATGTTATGCAATATGATATTCAACGAATGCGCAAATATTCAAATAAAAGATATTGAGTAATGTCATTCCACGTTTCTATATGTTCACATGACGGGGTTTTACGACTTATAATCACTACTTTAATCAGTAAAAAAAACAACAATTTTCTGATGATACAAGTTATTTCCCTGGAATTGCTTGTTATTCCCTGGAATTTATTGTTATTTCCCGGGTGCACTTTAGATTCTTGTCAAAATTCTTTAAGACGAGATAAAAATACTATTTAGATCACTAGTTTCAGAAAAAAAAAAAAGAACTCAGAACTAAGAATGAAAATTAAAATTAAATTTTTATTTTGCATTTTAATGGGTTTAACAAGAAAAGATCTACAAAAGAAAAGAATAGTTAGCACTCATTTAAAAGAAAAGAAAAATAAACCCAGAGTAAAGAATAGACACTAGTACTCGTTATTCAACATTTCTATTTCTTCACATGTTATTCTCTTTAATTGTAAATGGAGAAGCCAATGCAGCAATGTTATTTTAAAAAAAATTCATTTAGCAATTCGACATTTCTATTTCTTCACATGTTATTCTCTTTAATTGTAAATGGAGAAGCCAACAGCAATGTTATTTTAAAAAAAAAATTAATTTAGCAAAATGATCTCTAAGCAAATGTCCAAAGCTACAAGTAATCTACCTTTGCACCAATAAGACAGTTTGGAGCACTCTTTATTCTCTATCTTTACCAAAATATAACCAAGTTGAAATTGTAGTATTTGGAAGATTTTGAAATTTGTGAAAAAATTGTCAATTTTCAATTTGATTTTAACTAATTTAGAGATTAGTAATGAGAATGGGCTAGAGCTTGGTAGATAACAACTATTCATTACTTGTAATAATGATTATTACGGCTGAAGCTGGAAATTTTAATTATTTTAATATAAAATTTTCAAAAATCTTTGGGCCTTTCGGATTAAACTTCTTTGGCTGAACGTATTTTTTCAATTTGAAATTTATTTTTTGAATGGATAAAAATTACATCTTTTTATTTGACTTTATAAATGGTATTAAATTCGTAAGAGCCTACTTTTTTTTTAATTAGCAATAAACAAATCGAATGTATATGAATTATATCATACATATAATTAAAAAGTCTAACTACATGTTACACACCAGTTTATAAAACAATTATCCGGGTCACAAGTGAGTCGCTATAGTTGTCAATTTACAAACGGTTCGGCTAACTAATTGCTTGCCCTGTTTTATAAAGAGCTGTCTTAGATCGTATACTAATTATTATATGAAACTATAATAAAATACCATTAACTATTTTAGTAAACTATAATTTCATTGTTATAATTAATAATAGTAGTTAGACGCGCCCAAATATCCGCACTTAAATTTAATTCTCTTACTCCTTTAGCAGATATCTATTTTAAAGATATTTTAATTTCCTATTGAAAAACTTGGCATTCTCGATACACGTTTTATTAAACTAAGATGCGTAAGTTCGTATAGGCCTAATTAAAAAATTTGTCAATATATCATTAAATATTTGCAAATTTATTGTGAATAAAATACCATCTAGAAAATAATCACTGACATTCGTAAAGAATTTTCGTGAAGATATAGTTCAATTATATTCATATATATATATAAGATTATTAATTGCCATAAAGTTAGATAATAACCATACAAATATTCCAATAATTAATTTCTTTTCCGTCGGTCAATTTCGTACCAGATAAGAAAACAAGGCCGAAATAAAATAGATCATTTTTAGTAACTCAAAATAGTCAACGAAATAGTCAACGAAAATGAAAATTTATTACTTAATATAGTTTTGATGCTCATAATTAGAAATACACTATAGATGTTTAAATAAAAGATTTTCAAAGGATACTTCAATTCAAAAAATGATGAAATTGATTTTAAAGGATCCTTATTTAAAGAATAAACCATCAAAGTGCAGATGATAAAAGTAATACAATCGCTTAGATTATCATTTTTTAAAATTTACATAATATAAACTAGTTCAATGGGTGGCGCTTCGCGCCACCCATCTTATTTGTTTAATCAAATTACTGTTAAATATTTTTTACGGAATTAATTATTTATTGCAATATGCGCGATATGTAATTAAATTTTAATAAGTTTCATCGGAATTATTTATTAATGTGGTTAAGTTGAGATTGTCAATTTTTACCATAATTCAAAGTAAAAATTTCTATTATAGAACTTGCTATTCGATGATCACAGTA